AGGTCGGAAAAAAGCAAATGAATCCTCAGAAAAAGTGAGGTCCAAGTCATCATGAGCGTCGCCAGAACCAAAGAACTTGCAAAGCACATTTTTTCCGAAGTGACTACAAATTTCCTTGTCCTAACTCTTGGCGACATTGACCGAGCATTAGGATAACAATATGTTCTTTCAGCTGTTTATCACAAAAGTCGATCAAGCATTCCATGTAAAGTGCTTCTTCGAAGAGGCCAGTCGAGGGCTGACGGCAGAATTGGGTGTGAGGTGGGTGGCTTTGTTCTGATGCGTTTTTTTATTTGAAAGCACAACCCTTCACCTTTTTTCCTTTTATTTGTCGTTAATCTAATATTATTGCGAAAGAAATCTGTTCAGGACCACACTAAACTCCTAGTACTGCTTATCCTTAACTGCTCATCCACGAGCTTACAGGGCGCGAAGGGCAGGAGATCACTACTGGTTGGAGGTTAGAAGTGGGATATCAGGATAGGGGGGGGGGGTCGAACCAGAAAGCGGAACCTTACAAAGTCCGCTCTCAGTCACTGCACTTTCCCTAAGAACTGGTAGCATTTGTACTACTGTGGTTTGTATGGGAAACGACAATGATGGTGCAGGTTTCTGAATCCATTAGTGTCTTACGAAGGTGACAGTCCACTATTGCTGCCTACCTAGAGACTGTTACAGGTTATGCCACCATGAGGTCCTGCCACGTGTGTAGCCTCAACACCCGGTTTACTTGGAAATTCCTAGTGATTATTCGAACTTCCAGCTCCGGAATTGAATTTCTATTCCTGTTCCAGGTACACATAGTTTGTGAGAGTGCAGTCATTTAAGTGAAACCGTTATGACCCAGTTGAAGAATTCAATTATATACCGATTCGTCGTTGATCATAATAGCGGAAGTCACCTTCCGAGAACTGGGTTTTTTCGTCCGTAGTGAAACCTCATGAACCGGCTGGCTCCAGTTCGTCGTTCAATGAATAATCTGGGTCGACTTTAATTATTCACGCTCAGCCAATTATATACCGACGTGTGGTCGACGACGGCGATGAACGCTCAGCCAGTGACTTCCACGCGGAGGGGCCTGAGGTTTGGTCGTCGTTGTCGCCTGGTCTGTGGATTCTTGCAGTGTGCGTTCAGGCATAATGATACCACTCCGGCGACTGAAACTCTTCGTCGTCGGCTCCGCCCCGATTGAACCGGACCTACGGCTAGTCTAACAATACGTAATCGTCCAGCGATGTCTTCAACCGAGGCCTATACTAACCGGATTGTATTCAGATGATTTATACTATGTGACTATGAAGGGGCTGAATGAAAGAGTAATTAAAGGACATCATGACGGCGTACCGTAGCCAAGAAGAGCTGGACTGTTGCGAAAAATGTTGCGAGATCTAGGGATCCAAGTTGGCTACAGTTGAAGACGGCTATACGACTATATATACATTCAACAACCTCATATTTGAGTTTTCCATATCCATAGAGTTATCGTGTGGATACTGCGGTTTTCGGTAGTTCAAAACTGACATCATGGCCAGATTTTGACATCAGCGGAGAAGTTTGATCTTTCTGGGTGGCCCTTCTCATTCTTAGACTTGAACTAGCTATTGGTCTAGCGGCGACAATTTAGGTCAGAATGATTCCGATGTATCCTTATAGTCGCCCTTATGCTCCGGCGATAGCCTCGTTCTGATCAACTGTGGACCCATTGATTTCGCTGAGCACTTTCTTTGTTTTTGCTCATGAAGTAGCACTGGCTTTGACCTCATTTTCAGCTCCTACTTTTTGTCCACATTCCCACACAATCGTTACCTCTACATTACGATTCACGGGAGGGGAGATGCCTAAACTGCTCAAAATCACCTCAAATTACTTATATCAAATTCAGTATGATTCCAACGACCGAATTGGAAGCTCGTCATGGAATTCCTGGTTGCACTTACAGTATCCATAAGAGTTCTATAGAGGACCTGGATGAGGGCAAAGCAGCCGGTCCACCGATTCAGTTCGCCCGTGTGGGTGACAGGGTTCTACATCAATGGCACTGCAACGATAGTAAGTTTATTTCATATCCGATGTAATGGAGAGGTCGATCGATTCATTGATTTCCAGAAATGTTCGGTATACTAATCAATAATTGTTATGTCACTGACGGTTTTGGTAAGAAGGCTGACGTTATCAATGAGAAAGGGTTTGTGAAACTTACTGCTCTAGAAGTTTAAACACTCTTGTATAATCAGTTTTCCCTGGAAGTTATTGATTGAAACCTAACTTTTTCATTCAGTTGTCCGGTGGATCCGATCCTTATCACCGGGATACGATATTCTGCAGATCTTCAACGTGCTTATGCTGAATCGTCGGTAAGTTTAGGGATGGTTAAAGACTAAGGCACTGCTCCATCAAGATGCAGCGCTCTTGTCATCTGAAGCTTCTCAAAATTCCATTTAAAGGTCTTCAAGTTCGCCGATAAGCCGGGTGTATGGTTCTTCTGCCAGATCCAGATGTGCATGAAGAAAGCTGGAATGTGTCATGGAATCTCGGTAAGGACACCGTTCCTCTTTCAAGCATGATCTGAGTCTGAGTAGTCCATGCTTCAGCCCCCTTCCTGTGCTACTACAGCTCCTCCAGTAGAAGGAGGTGAAGGGGAAGAAGAGAAAGTGCCTACCACGGAAGAATATCCGGAGTATGGTGAAGAGACCACCGTAGGTCACAGACGACGGACAACCACGCCGCCTGATTATTTCGAAGGAGAGCCACGTAGAACCACACCTGAATATGAATATCCGGACGAGGCAAGGAAGCTGCACAGGTGCTTACAATTGTACGCTTTTCTACAAATTTTTCTTTACTTTCATATAATATTTAAAAAGGAGTGGTACAATTCCATTTCGAATCGCAAAAATATTTCAGTAATGGAAACAGTTGTAGCCTATAAAGTTTACGGTACGTGAAACTATCGAACAGCAAAGGAGAATCAAATAAGTTTGTCTAGTCAGTCGATAAATCAATACAAGTTATTTCAGCCCAACCTTTCCTGGTCAGTATGGCACAACTCCACCACTCGATTACGATCTGCAAACGGAATCCGTTACGATTTTCGGTCCTGCCTTCCCATCGCCGGAAGAAAGCGAACGTCGTGGAGGAACTCGGGTGACTACGGTATGGCTGATATTAGTGCTTTCTTACTACCACTGCTTAAAGAGAGGGTTCAAATAGAATAGATGATGGATCAGCAGGATTTGTGACCGAGATTATTTCAGACGTCCGTAACGCAGTTGTTTGAAACAGAGGAAGATCTTGGAACGACAACAAAGAAAACTACGAAAGCTGGAAAGTGTGGGTTTTACGCAAGCGCTTCTGAATTCCGTTAGTTGAGAGTCGTTACGGTAGTGGATTTTCTATCTTGACTGAGATATTACACGGCTTTTTTGGGCACGTGCAGATTTAGCTGACGTGGTCATTTAAGTGGGGTGAGGTACTGCGGTATCAAAAACACCAAGGACAGTAGCCAGTACAGAATGAGTGAATGAGTCTTTTCGATGGGGGAATCTGGTGCGTGAGCCATGTCCGAACAGTGTATTTTAGTGTTTAGAAAACAGGAGAATTATCACATTCAGTTGTAATCGAGATCGTCATCATCTTCANTTTTGTCCACATTTCCACAAAATCGTGACCTCTACATTACGATTCACGGGAGGGGAGATGCCTAAACTGCTCAAAATCACCTCAAATT